GCTTTCTCATTTTCTTAAGTACTATTTGCTCGATGGCTAATGGTATGAAATTACACATTTGAGTCGGAACAGTACCATATATCCAGTGATATTTTAAATATAATAATATACAACCTAATTATATTGAAATGATTGTTCGTGAGCGTTGAAATTGTCTCTCCATTTGACCTGTTTACATAAGACTTAATACCACGAACTGACGTCATTAAGTTTATTGCAATATATTGGTTGAATATACGAAAATTTAATTTATAGAGAATAAAAAGTATGCTGAATGAAGAGCGACCAATGAGACTAAAAGCAATGAAATTTCTTTACTCATATCTTGAAAAATGTGCGATGTTTTCCTTTTCTGTTTTTTTTTCATTTCGAAGTTTTCCTCTTCTACATTTTTCTGTTTGATAATTTCCTTCCCAGTAATTTTTTTTCTACGGTTAATCCCACGAACTCTTGAATTCGAAAGAATTTCTTATTGTCAACTCGTGTATTTTTTGATCATTTTCTTATGGAAGAAATACAAGAGATTTTGAATCATACATAAAAAAATAAGAATATAATTAAAAACCGTAACATTTGCAATCGAAATATTCTGATCATCTACCATAACTGATGGATAAGTTTCATGTGATAATTACACCTGTATAAACTAGTGATTGAATAATTTTATTTTTTTTCATCTCTTTTTAACCAAGAAAAGACTTCTTGCAAGTGGATCAATTGATGATTTAAACATATCAAAATACGATTGTGATTGTGAATCATAAAAATGATTTTAATTAGAATAATAAACGAAGTTGCCACATGAATGTAAATGAGTAGGTGGGAAGTTTAGATTTTAATCTTGCAAAAATAATCTGAATGAATATGTTCAAAATGTAATGTACGTTCCATAACTGATTCATCATCACTAACGCCAGTTCATATTTTTGTCTTTTGAGAATATTTTTTTTTTGTTTTGGATTGATGTTGAGAATTACGAACTATATTCTCTTTTCATATCATGCTTATTTATTGAAGATTTTTCATTCGATATTATTTGAGAAGGTGTTGCGGTTGTTATGGAATCCATTGATGCTTATTTTAATTCTTCTCAAGATTCAACTATCATTTCATTTGATACAAATAGAGAATATACATTGGTTGAAGGCTCCTATGTACCAGTTGTTGGAACATTATTATTTATGAAATAACGATTATATTGAAAATTTATATAATTATTTAATGAAGGATTTACCTTTGAAATACCTATAGATTAGAAAAATTCAGCAAACATAATCAATTTTTCTTCCTCAAGAATTTTTATTAATTAAATATTCTTATTCGTAAAACTCATGAATTACAATTAAATCTGATTTAAATAAATTCATCTAAATTTTGTTTATCCTATCAAATTAAATAAAAAGAAAAGAAACAAACTTTGTCGTAAAAAAGCTAGTGGTCAGATAATATTTGTTAAATTTAAATGTGTATTGTTATTATTATCATTATTTAGATAATTTCTTTATTCATTCGGTTGATTAAAATTAATTTGAAAAGATGATTGTGCTCTTTTTTAATCATATTAAATATACTTATTACGAGAAGGAGATTCATAATAAATATCATCTGATTCTCCTTTCGTTTGTTGTGATTATTGTTGTTGTGTGGATGAATCTAAACCTTTTTATGTACAGAATCCATATAATTAGAAAAAGCATTTTGGTGTTATTGTTGTGATGATGAATTACTTGTTGAAATGAAAATTTCTGCTTGAGAAAGTTGTTGTTGTGTTCGGCCTTAAGCTAAATTGATTTGTAAATTTCTTAATTTTTGTAGGATAGTATTACTTGCCATAGTTCCTGTTGAAGGATGATATGATGATGATAAATGAGGATAATTCAAAGGTTTTAATCGTGTTTCATTGAATGAAAAACATTTTCTGAAGCATTTTTTATAAAAAAAAAAAAACGAAATAATTAAGAAGAAACGAACGATATTTAATAAATATCGCCGAATTTTGTCTTCTTTTGGTATAGCATTGAGAACAAGATCAGTAGGAGCAGAAGAAGAAAAAAGGGTGAATCATTGCAATAACTAGTGAAGAAATTTTTACCAATAATTGATTGATCATTAACAGGTAAGATTTGATTTCTTGTCTTAAAGTAGCTGCATTTGCTGAACCATCATCTTGAACTTATTCAACAAAAACGTATCGATTGATTGAAGATTCGGATGAGAATTATTTACTACTATTGTTGTATCTTCTTGGATATTATCTGTAACAAAAACAGATTTTCCCGCATAACATACAACATGGAACATTAACCAATAAAGAAAAGAAAGAAAATTTTTTTTTTTTCTTTTCTGTTATACCATTTCTGGTAATTTTCGTAGCAGAAGAAGATGATGATTGCTATTCTCTTTGATAATGGATGTTGTTTTTCTACCTACGCCGCCACCAAGTCCATCCAATTGCTTTTGCTGATGTTCATTAATCACCACACTATACATAAGGCGATCATATTACGCAGACTATAAAAGAATTGAGATTTTTAAACAAACCGAAAAATATATTGTTAACAAATGTAAACAGGTATATTTTCTAACCTGACTTTTAACGAAAAAAAATTAATCTTCTTAAATAAAAAAACGAAAAAGTTAATTATAACTAGATGGTATTCGAGTTTCGACTCGAATACGAAATGGAGTGCGAAGCGCGAATTTCGAGAGTCGGTGAGACGGATTTCAAATCGAATACTCATAATTGCTATGGACATCCATCATTATTCGATCTTACTTTCTGTGATCCGCTTATTATGAAAATCAGAAATTTTTCTTTTACCGATTGTGAGCTGAAGAAGCATGGTTTTTTGTCAACTACTTGATCTAGCTCAGACTGAACGTGGCAAACAGCCATTTTAAAGTCTGTCACAATCTGAATTCTACAATATGCCTATCAAGAACCTTCAGCAAAAGGCTCGTCAATAATCATTTAATTGTCTGAGTGGTTTCTTTTCTGTTATTAGCTGTGTTGTCAGCTATTGAATACATTAGTCAAGAAGAATTCAATCATCTTTTGTTGTCTGTATTGTCTTGAGGTGAACACATCCTCAAATTCTGAAAAAAGATTCTGTTTTTTTGCATAGTGCGTATAAGTAAACGAAAGTTCCTAGAGAGCACGCTTAAGAAAGTTAACGATTCGGTTTTTATGCTGCTGGTTTGTTAATGTGATACAAAGTACAGCATTCATGTGGTTCTTCGCAAGTTTTGGGTGGGTGTGAGTGCGGGTGTCGGTATAAAAGTTGTCTTCAACAACACCCACGCTCACACACACACTCACACCCACAGCCATACTCATACTCACACTCACATTCACACGCTAATCCACATCCACACCCCAAAACTTAATTAACATCTTTCAAATCGTCTAGATTTGTATAGCTCAATGCGAACAATGTTTTCGACATTAGAATCATGTCAAAATCATGTAGTGTTCTCTTGAAAATTAGGCTTTATTGGTCCCACTTAAATTAGTTGGGTTTGTCAAATCATCCTATGTGGGATGATTTGGCACAACTTTTTTTTTTCAGAGGTCTTTTCATGAATGATCGTATATAGATCTAGTAAAAAATTAATAATCAAGATTAGTACAAGCTTGTAAAGAAATGTTTGCGCTATTGAATGATATAATTTTCATCAAAAATCGATTTGATATAGCTTGGAAGATTAGGTTTTATTGTTTATGCGTAAAAAATAGCAGGAATTACCAAATCACTCCAGGTGGGATGATTTGGCACAGCTTCTGGCAGATCTCGCTACGACCACTGTGGAAATTCTACTAGAAGAGATTTTCAGAAACTAAAAGCACCGTTGGATAGAAAAATATTTTCTCCACATATTTTTTACCAAAATTTTTTTTTATTATTTGAAATAAAAATGTTATAAGCATTATAAGACAAAAATTCAAAATCGTGTGCCAAATCACCCCGCGTTACTCTATCATAAATCTAAATACTAGTGTATTTGCTACATATATAACTATTACAAAAGCTTTTCAGTACACGGGTATTTAATATCATTGTGTAAGTACATATGTACTTAGTATTGGTACTAAGTTGTATGTACTTTAGTAAACTGTACTTAAGTAAAAGCCCATAATATAATTTTCAAGTAATAAGTATTCGTACTGGTACTTACTGTACTTGTCTAGTCTCTGATATTGAAACAGTCAGAAGAAGAGTTTCAATTTCTAAAATAAATAATAACAAAATGAATCGTTTATTTAAAACCACCATCATTTAAAACATATGTACCACTGATCATCTCATATGAACCTTTTTTCTCTTATTATCATCATACACGATAGACAAAAATCGATCTAAACTAATCTTTTTACTTATTTGTAAATAGCTTGATAAAACTATGTCAAATTGTTTTTACTCTAACTAACCTTTTATACTCAATCGATCCGTTTTCTTATAGTACTCAAAAAAAAAAGGTGAATAGCTCAACCTCTCGTTTTTGATAGATGTCATGAGTATCACCATCCCATTGAGTCACACATTAACCACTATAACCTTATCAATCGATTGAATTTAAAAAGGAAGAAAAAAACGTAGATGGGGCTTTTTTTCATTTTACTATTGTGTTGAATGGTTATAAAGAGAAGTTCAATGATGAATAAATCACAACACAATTGGTACACAGGATAGGTATGTTATAACCTTGAAATTATTATTTTAATATGGTCTATTGTTAGATGTATCAATTTATTGAATCAAATAAATTAGGAAATTATTTGTATCAAAGTTTTAGCAGTTCACTTCTTGAATTAAAAATTGTATCTCTAAAGCTATCATCACCCAATACATTAGTTTTATTATAACCAAACTCTAGTTTAATTGATAATTGTGCATATAATTTCTTTATATCAACGATTTATTGAAAGTTCACCAGCATCATCATCATCATCATCAAATACATCTTCATCGAAGTAATTAATTATTTCATTAAATTTACATATGCAAATGTCACCAATATCAGAAAATAATAATCCGAACCATTCAAATAAAATGTTTGTTTCATCATCAAATTCAATCGAAAATAATTGTAAAACGAATAGTAATATGAATCTTACAACATCAAGGAAAATTCCAACATTATCAACAAATGATTGTATTCCAAATATTTCGTCATCGACTTCAACAGCAATATCAAATCGAAAAAGGAAATCTATTGTTCAACCAAATTCTTCAATCGATCAATGTAATTCACAAGATTTATCAAATAACCAACGTCATCTTTCAACATCTCATGAAAATAATAATGATTATATATCAAACTATAAGCTTTCAAGTAAATAAGATATTTAAAAAAAGCTCTAAAAGATTTCATAGATATACAAATTTCTATATCATATTAGATTTTATCATCAGAATTGAACAAATTCCAAATCTATGGATGATCGATACTACGAATGGAAGATTAAATAAAGATGATAATGATAATAAAAAAGTATAAAATCAATTTTTATACTTAATCAAATTCTTGTTTTCATTATTCTCTTTGTTTTTAGTCTTCATCAAGAATCAATAAACAAATAGATACATCACCTATTCTTCATGGTTTACTAACATCTTCATCAAAATCAGTTGAAACTGATTTATTATCCAGTATAGAATCAACTCGTTATAATATTAATGAAAATCGTAATAATAAAAGTCCACAATATCGACCAAGACATTCTTATTGTTATTCATCAGAAACAAAATTTAGATCAAAAGATAATCTGAATAAGTAAATATCAAAAATACTTATGATGAATATTTAAAAGCCTTATTCAATAAAAAGAGTGATAGAAATATGTGATATTTAGAGAAGAAAAAACGAAACGATCTAAATTTAAATTTCTATCTGTATTCTATACATGATTATATTGAAGTAGGGCAGTTGAATAAGTAATGTATTTCTTTATGTTGAGAATAAATATTTCGAAAAGACTAATATTCGTCTTAAAATGTTCATTTAATAAGCATTATTAAATTAAAGTCTTTGATTAAATTTTCAATCACATAATTTCATAAAAATTTGACTAAGAAATTAGTTTTTATATTTCCTAAAAGCGTGCTTTACAATTTCACGTATTTGTTTTTGCTCTTTCTTTTCTTATTTGTATTTGTGAGTAGACCTGTGCAGGACAATCCTATTCTGCAGCGTAGAGTATAATGAGTACTGAGTAGAGTAGGAGTGGGAATAGAGTAAGAGGAATGTGTAATATGGCTCGAAGGTTAGTCATAACCTACTCTAGCCTGCAACGTAAGGTAAAGTTAAAATGGGAAAAAATAGAATAGGATACGAATCGAAACGAAGAAAAACATATCATAAGGTAGGATAAGAGTATTTAAAAAAAAAAGTTTACTTTGTATATCTTCACTGATGAAAGTTTATTAAAGTAAAATGAAATGAATAACAACAAATGAAAGAAAAAATATTAAAAAGATGATTAAAAAAACTAATATTTTCATTTGTGTAATATTTGTTAGAACATCGAAAATGTCTCGTCAAGTATGTCGCTCACCTATATTTACAAGACGTCCACAACAACAAATACAAAAAAGAATCGATAATGATTTTGATAGAATACATCAACCAACGGCTTTACTTTCATTATATACAAATGAAAGTACTTTACTAGTTAATAATAATATGGATAATCAATTATTTAATGAAAATCAAACTATAATTTCCTTGCCATCATCATCAAAGAGAACAGATAATAATAAACGACCATTTGAATCTTCATCATCAGAACAAATTTTAATAAAACGGCGTTGTCAAAAAATAATACCAAGTAAATCTTGTGTTTTTTTTTTAAATTATTTTCTCAAATGAAATTATTTTATTTTATTCGTACAATTTGTTTTCGTAGTGATTATAACTCAAAATCAGCTTTGTATATCGTATCCAAAGGATATTTCACGGTGTGTTGATTGTCGAACAATTAATTCATCAAATTTATCTACGAAACTGTCTAGTTGTCGATTTCAGCATTGTCGAACGTAAATTTTTTTTCTTTAATTTTCAATTATTTCTAATGATTTTCTAGACTTAAATCAATGAATCATACGTCTTTTATTAAACAAAATAGTTTGATCACTAATATTGTATTTGATTTTTTTTACACTATAAAATATTAAATCCTCTCCGGGTCTACCTTATGCAGAGAATCTAAACTCAAAAGTAATTCTCAAATTGAGAACCTTTCTTCGTCAGTATAAAACTAAACAATTTAAACTGATTCCTTCATTTCAAATAAAGAAAAACTGTTATCATTTTCGTGTTATTTATCTAAAATATCAATGTTGATTATCAAAAAACTTTGTTATATCGATTTAGATTGAAATATCTTGGTGATGACAAATATGAAGTCGAAGGATTTACAACAGTTGATAAAGCCAAATCTCAAGATACTAAATATTTGCCTACACCGAATTCTGGTAAAATAAAAGATTATTTTTTTTCATAAAAAAAAAAACAAAAAGAAGAACTTTTTTAAATATAAATAGGTGGACAACCACCATTAAGTTTAATCAATGCAAATTATATATTCACACAAATAGCTAAAGTATTTTGTTCAATGTTTTTACATGAAGAAACTGAACGATTAAGACACAACGAAAGTAAAATTAAATATTTGTTTTTTTTTTCGTAATAGAGAATTTATATAAATGATTTTTATTATTAATAAAAGAAACAATCATTCGGAAACAGTATATGGCTGGTTGGAGAGAATTTTGTGATCAATGTTCAACAACACTTTTTAATTGTCATTATATGTGTAAAGAATGTGGATATATGCTTTGTATTGAATGTTCAAATGAATTATCTCAAATAAATACTGAAAAACGAAAAAGTATTATTTAAATATAAAGAAAAATTTAAGAATTTTTTTTGTCTCTTTGATTTTTAATTTAGAATTTAAACGTATTTGTACTCACGTTAATACACATTGTTTATCAGAATTTATTCCATGGAATAGTAAGTAAATAAACACAGAAAAAAAAAAAAACTTTTTGTCTTCTCATTCTCTAATAATATATCTCTAATTATTATGTTTAGTTTTAATTAAATTACATAATGATTGTATTAATTATTTAACTAAATTAAAAATTGATCATTCAATGAAATTCTATCCATCATCGAGAACTGAAAA